TTCCCAGCTGTGAGTAATGTGCAGTCCATGGTGATCAAAAGAGTACTTTCTGTTGAACAATCATCATCTTTCACCTAGTTAACCAAAGTATAAACTTCACTGTCATCTAACTCCTTCTCCCTCACCCCACATTCAGTTAATCTCCAAGTCTTGTCTAACAAGACCTCTAAAGTAGGTCTCTCCCCTCCTTTCCATTCCCAGGGCTATACATACAGTGTCTGTCTATGTCTGGAAACATAATGGTGAATTGAGAGGGTGGTACCAGTGTCACAGTTTGGAGTAAATTACAAAGTACGCGGACCACATTTTAATGTAGTTACTTCCTAACCACTGCAGGTAGCCTCTTACAGACATGCCCTTGAACACACTCTTTCTTCTCTCTGGAATGTTCTTCCATTTGTTCCCATTACATGCATCATTCTAAACCTAGGTTAATTATCATTGACTTTGTGAAACCTGTTGGAATTCCCCAGGCAGGTTTAGTCATGTTCTGCTTTGTCCTCTTATAGTTTTTCCTGTTATAGTACCTCTCCTGTTCAACTGTAATTTGTTTAGTATGTATAAATTGGACAGACTGAGTAGTTGGTAAGTGCCTAGAGGGCACAGCTCATAGCATTGATCTTCATATCCCCAGGACACAGCCTTATGCCTGATCTATAACAATTGCTTAGTAAATATATGCTTGGAAGCCTGTATATGAGATGAAAGGCTGAAAATGCGCCTAGTTGTTGCCATTGGAGAATGATTTATTTGTGTTCTTTCTCCAACAGAATACAGAGAGAATTTGGTTTAACTTTCCAAAGTATACTCTAACAAAATAAAAGAATGTCTTTCTTTTGCCCTTTTAGGCTGACCTCTGGAACCCAAAGCCAGTTTACTTATATTAAGGAAGTGATCTGATTAGCATTAGGAAAGATTTTATGTAATGGGATTTGGTTTACTGCACGCACATTTGGATGAATATGAGTCTCATGCAATATTTTAACATTTTAATTCATTGCTGACTCTACAGGGCAAAGGGAGATCATAACCCTTAGTCCAATTTCAAGATGATGAATTGAGGCTTTTTCTAACAAGGCAGAGGATAAAAGATGTCTTGCTTCAGATATAGTACTTCAAATTGCATTTGTATTTGAAGTAAGTTGATTCAGTGCCGTAATAGTTGATATTTGCTAAAATAGGAGGTTGGTGGCATTATAGTGATATTTGCTAAAACAACTTATGAATTAATTGTTAAATGCCTATTCTGTGCTCTGAATTATGTTTTTTGGGACAGATGCCAAAAATGATGCTCATCCTGGCAATGAGGGACTTAATATCAAGTTAGAATGTTAAGAAAACAGAGAGAAGCCGGCCCCATGGCTGAGTGATTAAGTTCATGCACTCCACTTCCACGGCCCAGAGTTTTGCTAGCTTGGATCCTTGGTGCAGACCTGGCACCACTCATCAAGCCATGCTGAGTCGGCGTCCCACATAGCAGAGCCAGAAGGACCTACAACTAGAATATACAACTATGTACTGGGGATCTTGGGGGAGAAGAAGAAGAAGAAAAAAAGGATTGACAACAGATGTTAGCTCAGGACCAGTCTTTAAAAAAAAAACAAATAAAATGCAATACATTTCAAAAAAATGAAAAGAAAAAAGAAGAATCACTGGGCAATACATATCTCCTGGAAAAAAAAAAGAGAAGAGAATCACTGCTAAATAATTCAAGCAGATTTCAGGAACATTGGTCCGTATATCACCCTGGGAATTCTAGATGGGGGAAACTCAGGAGCAAAGACATTTAAAACCTCAGTGCTCTTCACCTTTCACAGATGGTGGGCAATGTCACAGAGAAGCGGGATTTCGGGTCAGATAGTCAGTATGAGGACCCTTCATAGAGCATCTAAATGCCATTTGGAGTGATCAGGACTCTGAAATGTCATGGAGAGACATTATAGATTCCAAGGCAGGAAGACGACACGATGAAAATAGAAATTTCAAAGTATTATTTTGGCAGCTGTCAGATTTCATGGATTTGGCAGGGACTGCAGGCAGAATGGTCGATGGGCACCATGTTACCTTGGTTAACTCGGGAACAGTTCTGCTAGTTAGATTGTTGGTCTGGTTATGGTGCTCTAACTACTTCATGAGCAGTTTCTCAATCCTTTTTTATCCCCATAGTCTAGTCTAGGTCTAGTTTGAGAGTTATTTAGAACGCTAGTTTAACTATGTCAGACGTGGCTTTAATACCGTGAAGCAGTGAAAAGAACAAAGGACTCTGATTCTGGTCTCATTTAGGCCACAACTAGCTGCAGGCCTATGGCCAGGTCACTAGATGTCCTCAGACTTTACTTCCTTAATTTGGGCTTAAGAGCATAGACCTGGATGAGCCCTGAGACCTTGTAAGTTGAGCTTTGTGAGACAAAACGTGAATGGAAGCTTCCGAAATGTTCACCTTGTCATTGAGCAGCTAAAGTAGTGAGCATGTATTTTAATGCATACTGGGAAAATTACATCTTCAACACTTACAATTTGGTAGGTGTTAGGTTCATGATGGTTACAGTATATAGCACTTACCTTTTCCAGGAATCTGTTAAAATATAGAAGAAGATAGTAGAAAATTAACCTTTGAAAATGAACACAGTGTGCTTACTGTATAGTTTAAATGTTTTAAATAAAGCTACTTATTTGCATAATGATGCTTCAGAAAGATATATCTTAAAAATAACAATACTGTTCATTGATTTGAAATTAAAACAAAAATAACAAGTGTAAATTAATTCAGAAAAGCTGTCACCTTACCATATAATTAGATGTATTAATAAACATGTAGGCTATCACTTATTAAGCTAAATTTGGCATAGAAATATATTTCAAGGTAATGAATCTGTATTTTCTATTTATATTTTGCAAGCGTTTATTGATTGTCATCAGTTTGTTAACCTCTATAATATGTATACAGTTGTATAAGACAGATGTTTAATAAATAGCTCTCTCATATTACTTATCTAAATTGAAGTTTAAAGTTGATCACTGCAGGAAATGATATGTAGGAGACATTGTGTGAAATATATCAGAACACCCAGAGAAACACTACAGATAAGGGTTTCTAATGTCATAAAACTAAACAAATTATTACAATGTCTAGACAGAGTCCAAAGACATGGTTGAAAATTTTTGATAAAGTGGTTTTATAGACCAAACAAAAAATCTGATTTGTTTAAGCATCATTTAATTTTTCTAACCAGTGAAATGATGCATAGCATGAAGTTAACTTACTTGAAAAAAATAAAAGAAAAAGGACATTTTATCCCTGTGAGTATTTTCCTCTAGTCAACAAATATTTATAATACCCAGAAAGTTATTTCTAATAATCTGGTCCCAGTAGTACTGTCACTGTCACGGGTCGGGGGGCGGGGAGTAGTTTGGTAAAAATGCAGATTCCTAGGGTTTTCTGCACACGTCAGATTTCTACACATAGCTCTGAAATCTTATTTTTAAAAAGTTCCAGGGAAGTTTCTTGTGCATGCTGAATGTAAGAGCTACTCTTCTAAAAATACTCTTCATTCTTCTCCTTCTGTTGGAAATTTTCACGTCGTTTGATGCTGGGTGTTGGGGAGTGGGATCCAGAATTTGAAAGTGGAAGAACAGGACTCTGCTTGGGTATCCAGAAAGAAACTGAGATAACCAGTTGTTTTACTATCCATAAGTAGGCTTTTCTAGCTTTCATTTTCTGTTTGAATTAAGAAGGATAATTAAATATGTCCCTCAATGATTCAATTCTTTGAGTGTTCTATACATTTGTGTCATATAAAACAAAGTATTAGACATTAGAAATTTTTCTTTTTTTACTTTCAGAACACAGATTTTCCCAGAATAAATTTTCCCATAAGTTGGACTTATAATCATTTTATTTCCTCCATAGAATCACCAAGTTTATCTTCAAATTCTATAGGTTTCATGATTCTTTTAATATTAAATAAAAAATTCCAAATATACCTGCATTAATTTATAAGCAACTATAGCCTCTGTTGATAATACTGCTGTTTAGGTTGAGATTGTTACCAGGAAGTTCTTGAGATGACTGTCCTTTGCATGTGGATATAGGCTTTAATAAAATAACTATTTCTTCTCCACTCCCAAATGTAATACAAACAAAAATGCAAAATTCACAAATGGGGGCCATCTCCAATTTGAAGCTGGTAACTAGCAGTAATCTCCTTGATGACAGGAAGCATATCTTATTATCCAAATATTTCTCATGACCCAAAATGGTTTTGCATGTAGTGGGCTTCCGGTGATATCTGAGTCAATGAGTGCTAGTCAAGTTTTATTGGCCCGTGTGGCACTGAAATAGGCGAAAATTATATTTAGGAATTTGGACAGCTTCATGAGAACTAAGTCTCTCTTTAGTGAGAATTTTATACTTAGGTAGCCATGATTTATTGCCTTCTTCAGTGGCTTAATTCAATGATCATCTTTTGCTCAGATCAATGCAAGAGTCTATAAATACTGTAAACTAAATTGGTCTTCAATTCCTAATAACCAAATCTTCTCATTCCTTAGCTCCTATTTGCACCACAGGGCTTATAAAATTAATAGAAAAATGCCAATGTCTTCAATTCACATTCCTTTTTCCTTTCCAATGGTCTTCTTTCTTTTGCACTACCTAGTTTTTGGACAACCTCCTTGACTGTATTAGATTTTGGATTTCAGAAAGGAATCATATTTTATCATGTGGTCTTATGGTGATGGTGATTTCCGAATCACCAGTTTTCTCACGGCACCCTGTTCCCCTTTGCCAATTTCAAAATGTATTGGTGCCTGTGAGATGTATTTGAAGCTTTCTGTCCATCAAGCTCTTTAATCCCTTGGGGATGCTCAAAGTGTTAAGACTGATGGATCTGACTATGGTAAAGCTTAATAAGAATTGTTCTTACAACCAGGATGATTCCTGGGAAGACAGTTGACTCATCTTTTTATGTATCTTGTCTCTCTTCTTCCTGACTCAACAGCTCCCCCCACGGTTCGTATTGTGCACTCAGGCCTGGCCTGTAACATTGAGGAGGAGCGCTACTCAGAGAGGGTCTACACTATACGGGAAGGAGAAACCCTAGAACTCACCTGTCTGGTCACAGGACATCCACGTCCACAGGTGAGTCCCGAACCGTGACATTGGGGAAAGCTCTCTATGACTTCTCTGGGGATTGACAAAGCATATATTGTAGAAGATTTACCTAAAAATGTGTGTGTGTGTGTGTGTGTGTGAAATTCAATACATGTATGTGCAATGCAGGATAAGGGTGGCGATTGCTGAACATTCTAGCTTGAAGCATTCATATGGATAAGATGAAAAAAGAAATTTTTGTTTGGGTATTGTGAGAAATTTGGAAAACACTTCTAAGGAAGCTGTTAAAAAGACAACTACAAAAATATCTCAGTAAGATAACAATTCATATGGCAATGAGTTTATTTTAGAATGTGAAACATGATTTCATGATGACATAATTGCAGCCGAGGAAGCATTTGTTCTGAAGAATGTGATGTGCGAGGTCACATGCACTTTCCTTACTCCTAGTCATTATATTTCATAGGAAACTTTGAAAAACAAATTTTGCAGATGCTGTATGCGTTCAGGCTCACAGAGTCATCAGCTACAGCTTTCATAAGCTAATTTAATAGCAGGAACTGAATTTGAGACTTTCAAAGGGCACTAGAATTATAAACGATGATCCAAGAAGAAGCTTCCAGGAGTGAAAGACAAAGTTAGGTATATAGGGTATAAGTACAGGGTATCGTGCTTTATAGGCTGTAAGGTAATGTAGGTAGACTATGTATCTATGATGTAAAAATTTCGTTTGGATACAGAATATTCGGGATGTTTTAATCAATTGCCAATTCTTAGTGTCATATATTTAACCTGACTAGTTCAAAATATGCGTTGGTATTCAAGACAAACACTGTGATGGAAAAGAAGTCTCATTTGGTAGACAAAGTTACATATTTTAAGTATTTGTGTTACAGAAAAAAAAAAAAAATCCAGCTAACACAACTACAAAGGTGAAAGTAAAGAGCAATGTGGAGATTTTGTGAATCTTGTCTTTTGCTTCTGCCATTTTTAACCCTTATACCAAGGACCCTTTGACCCTACCATTTTGACCCTGAAGAACAAATAAAAATAAGCATATGAACTGTCAGAGTGAAGCAATAGATTGATACATAAGACCGTGACTAAAACTGAACTGATAAATATATTTTATAAAACTTATGGTGTTGGTAAAATGCAAAACAGTAAAAGTAATCTAGAAAAAATAATTATTAAAATTATTGAAAAATATTAAAATTCACTGTGGGTAAAATTGCAAATTATAACATTTGCTGTTAACTGAAAATTGATTTAAGAATAGATTGTCCTAATAAAATTGAGTTCTACAAAATTTGACCCAATATAAGTTAGATTTGGCAGTAAAAATGATTGCAGAACTGAACATACACGGACACAAGCAAAAATTGTTAAAACTTGATATCGGCAAAGAAGCTGATATGTAAAGCATTTTTATTTTAAAATTTATACAGAAAACAATGGAGTCCAGTGAAAATAATTTTACTAAAGTTAAAAAATAACATTAATTTGAGAATATTATCTCAGAGAAAATTTAATGTTGTTATAATTTGATTATAATTTTTGTATTTACATGCATAGAATAAAAATTCCAGAATCAAAAAGTTGGGATCAAAAGAGAAGGGTCCAAACAAACCTAAAAAAAGCCACAAGTTGCTTTAAGAGAGGCTGTTTATGGCAAGAGAAGACTCATAGATATCCATTATTCCCACATTGAATGTGCCAAATTCTGCATCTTCTGAACTCCCAATTTTAGTTAAAAATGTAACTTCTTATGTCTGCTTTTACATCATCCCAGCTCTTCTGCTCCCTCTATCTCCATCCTTTTGTTCCTTAATATTACACATTTATTTTCTCCATCCGTCTTCCCTTTCGTGATTCACATCTGGAGTGCAGTCTTTCATCTCTGGCTAATCCAAAATAAGTTCTGAAACAAAGGATTAGATTATTTATTTTTCCTAAGCAATTCCATTTATGGAGTCATTTCAATGTGTGCTGATCCCAAGAAAAATTTCTTGTTTCAGTATCGCTATTTCTTCGTTTCTAGGTGCAGACACCTAGAAGTAATTCAGGTGTTTGCAGGTGAATCCGTTTCATCTTATATTGCTGTTTGGAAAAATTAACTGGGCCTCCTCTTTGTCAACAAACTGTATAAGGAAGGCTGGCACAACAGCTGGGCCTTGGCACCCTGGCCAAATACTGAAGGGCGTGCTGTGGCCCGCTGGTCCTGGTGATGATTTTCTTGGCTGGTTCCATGAAGCTGGAATGACTTTCTTGCTGCTTTGTTTAATCTGAATATGATGATGGGTGGAAATGCAGTGGAAGAGAGATGTTCCTCATTTATCCCTCAGGAGATTTCTTAATCTGTTGTCTATTCCTGTGGCAATGAGAGTCAGAAAGGTTTCCATTTCCAGAAGAATTCTAAGGCAGCGTGTTTTTTTTTCCTCTATATTCTTTAACATTTTCTTTCAAAATATATCATTTGGCAATGTGTAGTGGCCTGAGGGTATTGATGTATCCAAGGAAAATAAAATAACTGAAGGGAGGTGAGTGCAATGCAGTAGTGAGAGCATGACACTGGAATAGGCTGCTTGGGGATAACTCTGGGTCCACGATGGCTGCCAGTGTGGCCCTGGGGAAGGTCTTAACTTCCCTGCTCTGTGTGCCTCAGTTTTCTTATCTATATAATAGGGATGATGGTAGCATCATAGGGATGTTACCATCATCCCTATATCATAGGTTCCTTCTGAGTATTAAATGTTTATTATAAATATATACATACATATTTTATGTACATATCACACATATACACGTATAGATCCTTGGCACATAATAAGCCTTATATTGACACATAATGTCAATTACAATTACAAATGTAAATGATTTAAACGATAGGGAATTTAGCATGAATGTTCCCCTTCACTCTCCCACACATTTCCCAGAGATAAATATTACTTTAGTGTATTACCTTGCAGTTCTTGTTCAATGCATTTCTGTAGATATAATTATATATGTTCATTTCATTTTAATTAAAGAAAAGTTAGATAATGAAAAGTAGTAGTCTATGACTAGAATTTTTCACTTGGCCATGTGTCCAAATCAGCAAGGGTGGATCCAGCCTATTGGTTCTCAGTGTGTGATCCCTGGAGAGAACTTGTTAGAAATGAAAATTCTCAGACCCATCACATCAGAAGCTCCTGCCTTAGGGCCACCCCTCTGTGGGTTAACAAGCTCTCCAGGTAATTCTGATGTACGCTGAAGTTTGAGGACCACTGACTTAGATCATTGTCTTCACAGAGGCTGCATTGTACTTGTGTGTGCACTAAATGTATATAATTGCTGCCATTTTGTTGAACCTTGAATTACTTACAGATTTTCACTATTACAAACGATAATTCAAGGAACACTTTTGGTGTGTGTATGTGTCTGTGTACATCTTTGTTACAGGTATGCTAGCATTGCTGTATGATAGTTTCCTTCCTCAAAATGGAATCATTGAACCAAAGTTGAAAGTGACTTTTACTTGCTTCCTTAGCACAAGTGAATCATTTTTAAATTTTTGCTAATTTTATGGGAGAAAGTAAATTACACTCTAGTGTAGCTTAAGTTTACATTCTCTTAAACACTAGTCAGTTTGAACATTTTCCCACAGAAGTACAAATGCATCAATCATTTGTACATCTTCTCTATTGATTGTCCTTACCTACTTCCATTTTCTTACTGGTTTGCTGCTTGTCTTCCTGTAGGTCTGTGAGGACTTTATATATATTTTATATACTACATAAATAAATTCAATATCTGATAAGTGTGCTGCAAATTTTACCTTCTAGGGTGTTGTCTTTTAATATTGCATATTTTTTTATTCAGAAGTTTTTGTTTTTAGAAGATGAATTATTTTAATCTTTTCATTCTTGGCTTCTCAACTTTGTACATACTTCAGCAAGGTCTCCTTCATATCCATATATCTTGCATTGTATGCTTCTTTGCTAACAGCTTATAGTTATTTATGTATTTGATGATTTAATCATCAGAAAATGGTTTTGTCCATAGGATGAAATACTAGTCTAGTGTTCTTGCTCTTCTCATTCCCTCCCTCTGCCATAATCCAACGGGATAGTCAACATTAAAAGTGCTATTTTTTCTCTCTTTTTTTAAAATTGTGGTATAATTGACGTATAATATTTGTATGTATTTTGAAATAATCACGACAGTAAGTCTGATTAACATCTGTCACCATACATAGTTGCAAACTTTTTTTATTGTGATGACAACATTTAAAACATTTTAGCATTATATAATTTTTAACATTAAACATTAAAAACGTGGGGCCAGCCCCATGGCTGAGTGGTTAAGTTTGCACTCTCTGCTTTGGCGACCCAGGGTTTCACTGGTTTGGATCCTGGGCGTGGACATGGCACCACTCATCAGGCCATGCTGAGGTGGCATCCCACATGCCACAACTAGAAGGACTCACAGCTAAAGATATACAACTATGTACTGGGGGCCTTTGGGGAGAAGAAGGAAAAAATATTTAAAATAAACCCCAAACATTAAAAATGCTGTTTTTATCATGAATAAAACTGCATTATTCTCTTCTCTCATTCTAGTTAGCCCTTTTTGTCCCAGGCCACGCTATTTTAATTCCAATAGCTTTATAATATATTTTGATATACCACGGAGCAAGTCACTCATTTGTGGTTGCTTTTCAATATTTCCTTGGTTGACCTCTTCTCTATAAATTTGAAAATGACCTTGTCATATCTGCCCCCCCCACCCAAATGAATGCTGGCATTTTAATGACATTGCATCGTTCTTGTTCTTGCAATGAAATGGTGTGGAAGAAAGTGAGGCTGACTTTCACGGAGAGCTTCATGGCAGGACGCTCTGCCAGTTTCAGACTTCTCCAACAGGAAGGTGGTTCTGTTGTAACCAGTATAATGTGAGGCTCTTTGAATATGTTTTCATGACAAACTTGGGTATGCATATTTAGAAAGCTGGAAAATACTGACCTTTTCTTCTTTTTTCAATAACAA